ATATATAAATATATAATATACCGGTAAAGAACAAAATAAGAAGAGAAACAAAGTGGGATCGTTAAAATGTACTTTATTTACGCTCGAGATAAGCATTAAGAAATGCTTCTAGGTGTACTGTCCATTATCGAAATACCTAGTCGGGAGACTTAGAGAATACTCACTGGTAGTAATAAATCGTGCTCTTTAAACGCAAATAAATTCTGTAACGAGCAGACCCGGATAATAACATTAATAACAATAATAATAATAACAACAACAACAACAACAACAACAACAATAATAATAATAATAATAATAATAATAATAATAATAATAATGATGATGATGATGATGACGACGACGATGGTTACGCTTGGTAGAAGAGCAGATTTAAGAGAGATATTAACGAAAGGGTTGGATGAATAAAGTTATCTAAAGTCATTCAAAAGAGTTAATGAAATTTATTTTACTACTTGATTGTCCCTCCGATATAATATATGTTATTATACGTTTAAAAAGTTAATATTATATGTGGGCTTTTATTTACATAAAGAATTTGCGATTACAATTATGTAAAGTAATTGACAAAAGTCGTACTATCGCGTCAACTCACAGGAATGCTGAGAGATATGGGGAATATGAGGGGTGAGGGGATATGGGAAGGGAAATGGCGCTAAGAATATTACGAGGAACTACTTTGGAATCATCTTCTTACTCAAAGGTTTAATGATAATTCATTGCGGCGTTAAGTTATCTGGACGATTACCCTGTAACGTGATAATAATGTTCAATGCCGGTGGCGGCGAGCAGAGCTTTCTCGCGTGCTCGCCTCTTACATATATATATCACAAATACATATATACATACGTACATACATATGATACCTTCCAATTTTCCATGGCAACAAATATATAATTTTAATGACACCCGGTAGATCTCCGTTGGTATCGCAAATACACAATTATTTATCACCGATCTTTAATAAATTAAATCTTTCGTTTCTTAAAAATGTCCTACGATTAAATGCGCATCAATTTTTATATAAAAATTTCAACAAATTTAATTTAATCACAACATTATATATAACGAATTAGAAACATAGAAATATATGTATTTTTTATATAACATATATATATATATATATGTATATATATTTTTTTTTTCTTTGGTCTACTTTTTACGTCACATCCCATTTCATATCCAATAATTATATATGTATTATTATTATTATCTTTTTTATTATTATAATAATATTCTCTTCGACCTCATTTATTTTTTAACCCCAAAGAAAGATGCATCATAATTAATAAAAAAAAAAAAATAAAAGAAAAAAAAAAGAAAAATCAAAAATCATCGATCAAAAAAATAATCAGCTCACAATATAAAAATAATAAATTATAAAGCAGGACAGGAACGTAGAAATGACTATTGGATACCGAGCCTAATTTAATTGTTTTATGAGAAAATGTATAAAGAAAAAAAAAAGAAAAAAAAAAAAGAAAAAAGAAAAACAAAGAAGAAGAAGAAGAAGAAAAAAGATCATCGAGCTTACAATATAAAAATAATAAATCCAAGGGCAGGATCGTAGAAACGACGATTGAACCTCGGCTAATTTAATTCTTTACGAGAACTTAATTCTTTGCAGAAGAAGAAAGAGTAAAAAAAAAAAATAAAAATAAAACGAAACAAAACAAAAAAAAAATAAAAAAAAAGCTCGTTACTTTAGGGTGTCGATCTATTCGTTTCTAACTATTCTAAGGCGTTCCAATGGTATACTACGACGAGAAAACGTGACGGTTCTTTCCGACTTTAACTCTTTACGACGAACTCGAAGGTATTATACTGGAAACGTACAATTACGACACGTTTAGCCACTAATTCGATGGCGAACCTATCGAAGGAGAAAGAAGAAGAAGATGAAGAAGATGAAGAAGAAGAAGAAGATTAAGAAGAGGCTACGCTCGTTTTGCTAATAACGTAGAAGAATAGCTTACGATCGTGGCATGAATCTTTTGCTCGTTCATCATAATCTCTCTCTCTCTCTCTCTCTCTCTCTCTCTTTCTCTCTCTCTTCTCTTCTCTTTTTCTCTTTTTTCCTCGATAAACAAAACTGAGACTAAAATTTTTAACGTCAATTAAAAGATAAATACTACAAGTTTATTAGACGAATTACAAGAATTATTACAAGAATTAAACCATTTAAATTTGAAAATTACGAAGATTCTATTTCATACAATGATATGAATCAATCGTATATATCAATCGTATATATCATATATTTATATATATATATATATATATATATATATGTATATAAATTTAAAGATGTAAAAGTAAGATGAATTAGAAAGAGATGAGTTCGAATAGCCTTAGGGTTAATATCTATGATAGTACTACCATACAAGTCGTTGAATTCGTGAGAAAGATGAACGATAGTCGGATGGATACGTCAATATGCGTGCCATTAGACATTGCCATTCGAATTTATCGCATGGCACTACCCCGTAAATCCGTGATTTCTAATTACACGCCTCTGATCGTTTGCCTTTCTCCCTTTCTCTCTATTTCTCTTTCTCTTTCTCTTTCTCTTTCTCTTTCTCTTTCTCTTTCTCTTTCTCTTTCTTTTTCTCTCTCTCTCTATCTATCTATCTCTTTAACTCCTTAGTTTGATGCAGTCGCCATAACTTTTTCTACTTAAGCTTCTATTTATTACGACTATTGAAATGCGATTGGCTTCGATCGATTTCTATTAAAATGAAAAAGACGATGGGATGATGATCTAAGAGAAATAAAGAAGAAAGAAAAAGAGTGAGAAAGAATGAGAGAGAGAGAGAGAGAGAGAGAGAGAGAGAGAAAGAGAGAGAGAGAAAGAGAAAGAAAGAGAGAGAGAGGACAAGCAAGAGGAAAGAAAGTACCCGTGAAGCGTGTAATTCACCGTCGACAGTCCGTGAATTATTATCGCCCACTTTGCCTTGTCAGGTTTTGCGAGATCAAAAGAATATATATATATATATATATATATATATATATATATATATATCAATGCCAAGGCTAGAGATCTCTCGTTGATTTGACGTCTTTCGCGAGCGTTTAATCGCTTAATCGCTCGCGATTTCGCGATTCGATGATTCAGCGATTGGATAATTGGTCTTTCCGCATATCGATTACGTCCTTACTTTCCGATTTTGAACATCATTATCCCTTCTTCTCGCCTCGTAATTTTTTTCTTTTTTAAACCGTAGAAAAAGATCGATAATTTTGATTGATCGTTTCGTTAGAACGATTTTCCTCTCTCGAATATGGTAGCAGGTTTTACAACGTGTAAACATATCAAGATTATCGTTCGATTATGTCCTCCATTTCTTTCTCTCTTTCTCTCTCTCTTTCTCTCTCTCTCTCTCTATCTTTTTCTTTTTCATCGTCGTAGTAGTCAACATTGTTGTTGTTGTTGTTGTTGTTGTTGTTGCTGCTGTTGCTTTTGCTGTTGCTGTTGGGAATTCTCGTAAAGTACGTACACGTGCGTTTATAGTAAAACAGAAAGAGAGAGAGAGAGAGAGAGAGAGAGAGAGAGAGAGACAAGTTGTCTTTACGTGCGTGGTAATGTGGGAAAAAGTTTCACCTCTATTAACCTTGAATCTTTCACCTTTCGACAGGCTATCGACTTCTGCATACCGCTCGTCTATCATATGCGATATATGTTCCAGGTCTTCCTTTCTCGAGTGGCGGCGACGGTGGGATACAGCTCACACACACACATATATATATATATATAAATGTACGCACACATGAACATAAAAATATATATATATATATATATATATATATATATATATATACGCATAGCTATATTCCGATCCTTGACCCTACTCTTGCACATTGGATATTATATCTCCAAATGGGATATTGGTTATATCAAAATGATGCGTATACCTATTGCAGATACATATATATATATAGTATATATATATATGTGTGTGTGTGTGTGTCTACATATACAGGGTGTAACCGAATGATATGTAAAAACTTTGAGAATAATTCAAAAACAAAATAAAACTTTGAGAGATTCAAACAAGTAGAAAATACCTTTAAGATAGTTAGTAGTCAGAATACGATTCCTTTCTGGAATTAATTAGATTAGAAATCTTTTTTTGCTTTTTTTTTTTCAAATGGCCGCAAACATTGTCAAACTTTATAACTCACTTAATACCTTTTTTTCCCTTTTTTTCCCTTATTCAGAATCCTTCGTGATTCCTTTTTATCTTATGCAAAATATAAACGTGATAAGGAGCAACACGTTGTATTTGAAATATCTAAACAAATAGAAAATATTTCTTATTAACATTTGACAGTTAGAATCGAATTGCTTTCTGGAATTGATTATATTCCAGAGG